AAAAACAGCTTACCTTACTTGAAATATGTGTTACGTCTCTCCTGTGTGGTCCACGGGCCGATTTATGGCCGTTTTATGGGTTTTTATGTAAACGGCTCTATATAAAGGTAAACCTTTATACCTACCTGGGGTAAGATCTAGAAATCTGGTGGAAATTATCAATTAAGATGACTGATCTAACTTTCCGGTGGTCTAAAAATTCGCGGTAGAAGAGGTTTTTGTCACAATTTCCCGAGTGTTGTTATTCACGAAGACCATCAGTTAAACACCCTAAGCAACAGTTTGTCTTTTTACTTACCCTCACAGATAGGCTGACTTCCTGTCCAGCTTCCATCTGCTTGACAAGTTCTGGTTAGGTCACCAACAAGTTTATACTGAGGGTCACACTCTAACAGCACTGTGCTCAGGAAAGTAAAAACGTCACCATATCTGACTCCGTTATCTGGTGTACCTGGATCACCACAGTTGACAACTAAAAATAACAGGATTACGCTCTCACTCGTATTTGGCGTTGTAAATTTTAATTATTCATTAAAAGTTAGAATTCAGTTGGTAGAGTTTGAGTTACATATACGCTTCTGTCATCAACTGCCGAACGTAAATTATTAAACAGAAGAATTAAATGTCGATATAAAAATCTGCTCAGCTAATTGATATTTCTTCAACTTTTAGCGAGGTCTAGTGATAGAGGTACGTTAAAAGCACACAACTCAAGAACTACGGGATATCCAAGTAACCGCGTGAAAAAGATGTTTTAAAATGGCTTACCAATGTTTATTTTTGTTCAAATTAACGCTTTTAAAAGTGTTTCTGCGTTATTCCTTATAACAACTTATTGCAAGAACAAAAGAATTTATTCAACTTACTTTCACACGTAGGCTGAGTTCCAGTCCACAAGCCATTATCCTCACATGTTCGTACAGCAGACCCTTGTAATGTATAACCAACGTTGCACTCGAATTTAATCGAGTTACCATACTGGTAAGACGACGAATTCTTATTTCCATTTTCAGGTACACCAGGATTGCCGCAGGAGCGCTCTGCGAGAAAAACCCAAGACAATAAAGGTATCTGTTCTATGTATTCAAATGCTAGCTCAGTTTCTTATATAGACCTCAGTCCTGACTTTTGTACCTTTTTCTATCGATTCCTTCTTGTCGGTTTATCTACTACCCTGTTTGTTTCATGCGTGTTCGTTTTCCCTTTTCCTGAATGTTGTTGCTATTTCTTCGCATTTTTCAAGTATTTACTAAGTGGTTCAGTGAATCTTTATATTACCGTATATACCTTCAAAAAACATTCACATATTGTGTTATACCAGTAATCTAGCCCACCTTGATTTAGCATAACTTACAAATGGTCATAGTCTATACAAATACCGTCAACCTCCAGTCATCGTTCTATTTTTATAATCTAAGGCAGATAGTGGTCAACCTGAAGGGGATATGCTACTTTGGTCAGCACATAAATCTTTAAACTTTATGGTGATGTAATTTAGTATGTAAATTCAGTGCTACATTTTCAGCGTCTTCGCATTGCGCGGAAGAAGCTTGGGAATTAGCATCCTCAAATTTCGGTGAGACAGACCAAACTAGTTTCTATGTCACCAATAATAAATAAGCTTGGTGCTAAATCGCCCTAGCTTTATCGAACCTTCGTATCTAAAGTTGTTTTATCATATAGTAAAAGTAACTTCCTACCGCGCTTTCAGAGAACTTTATGATGTTTCAAGTTCTCTTATTTTTGCTATGCCTGCACAGCAATGACATAATTCCATTCAGTATTTTATTTTATACCAAAGTTACATTGATGCTGATATTTAATCACACAGCTTCCTGTAAAAAAAAAACACAAAAAGAAAAAAAAAAAGAAAAATTTGCCACCTACCCAAACAAACTGGTTTGGATCCACTCCATGTTCCATTAGCTTGACAAACCTGACTGTCCTCTCCCTCCAGGTGATGGTCTGGTTTGCAAGTGTACGTTACAATGGACTGGTACTTAGTATCGGTTGTTATGTTACGATATCCGCCGTAAGGATCTCCTGGATCACCACAGTCCACCACTAGGTTTACACGAAAAGCATATTAAAATCTCATCAGTTTACTATAATGATATTCTTACATTTTTTTTTACAAGAGTAAGCAAATAAGAAGTGTATGCGTGCGATGTAATCTCGCCTAAGATATGGATAAATTTCTGTTTAAGATTACTGTCCTTAACATTCTTTAACTTAAACATCCCTAAAATAAGCGATCACGAGCGACTTGGAGATAGGTAGGTCTTAAAGTAGCTGCTTTATCTAATCTCTCAGGAATCTCACTCAATTATCAACCATACTGTTCCAGCACAGATACCAACTAGTTGCATGTACTTCTTAATATGAAAACTAAATATTCGGAATTAGTAACTGCTGTACTACATGTTTCAATTCCTCAAAGACTTAGGTTAGGATCCCAATTTTCTGTTTTGTTTTCCTCGAATTATTTTCTGAGCTGGAAAAGAACAGCGTCTGAGTCAATTTTGCCTTGTGAGCCTTAGAATAAAACATACCGTAACTTACATTCGCACACAGGATCGTCCCCTGACCACAGTCCTCCCCCTGCTCCGTCAGAAATACAAGTCCTAAATGAAGAGCCTGAAGGCACCAAATTATAACCATCGTTACAGGTGATACGTAGGGTAGCTCCCAGTTCATAACGGTAGCCTTGAACCGCGCCATTATCAGGAACTGGAACTGGGCTACAAAAGGCAGCTGGAAAAATGAAAACAGATAAGAGTGGCGTGCAATGGGTATAAAAAGGTCGTGTTAATATTGATTATTGTTGTATTCCTAGACTTTCACTCAACTAAACAGGGACTGTCATTGGTTGGTTCTTGGTCACATGGCTTTTACTAAAACATTTGAGCAATTGTACCACGCTTGGGATACATTACAGCATGTGATCAAAGCATGGTGGAAAGTGTCGAGACAGAAGGCGGGAAAAACACTGCCAGTTTTATTTTTCGTGAATGAACACAACAACACAAACATGAAGCCTCAAGCGGAAAAAGCAACGGTTTTCAAAGTTATCCCTGAAAAGAAACAGCAGCTAGTGGAGGAAAAAGATGCTGATAATGAAAGGAAAATACTTTGTAAATCATTCATTCAATGTTTTTGAGAATTAAATTTGTGTTCTTAGAAGAACCGATTCGACTGTTTGATTCGCTCCGGTTGTTCATATTCTTTTGTTAAGAACAAAAAAAGAATACTGCTCTGTGATTGGTTACTTGCCATATCAACCCCTCTTTACTACTAAGAAATATAACAATAATGACAAAAACAATAACAATAATGTCAGGTCCCTCGAGAAACCAGTAACTTTTGTTTTCCCTCGAGTCCTGATGTTTTCCTTGACGAAAACAAATCTAACTGTTTCCCTCGGGATCTCATCTTAAGTTCATAATATTACAAAAAGATAATGCCTAACGAATACCTACAAATATCTATTGAAACAGAATTGTACTCATTATATGATAACATGTAATAATTATATAATACTCATAAAAATTTTTTTTCGATGAAATTGAGTTAAATAGGATGAAGGAATCCAAAAAAGAAAATAATCCTCAAAATTTGTTTCAGTGTAAATACAGCGAAAATATACCGTCATATATGTTAGTGTCAGATCTCTATCAGATTTACATAATGCACGATGTATTGTCATCAGTTTTCCGGCTTAAAATGAAAATGGTACCGATAAGCACGCCATTAAAAGTTTCGTGCTTTGTTCCTTACAAACTAATGAAATAACACGGATAAATAATTTAAATTTCTGAAATAATACATACCTACACATCTCGGTTGTGTTCCACTCCAGGTTCCACTTTCTTGGCAGGTTCTTGAGGCATCGACATTCTCTGGCATTCGGTAATTAGCGTCACAAGTGAAAGTTGCCGTGGTCCCAACAACATTTAAGTCACCATCAGCTCCACTCAGTACTCGTGTGGCATATTCCACTTGTCCAATCTCAGGGCAATAAACGCCTTATATTGAATAGAAAAAAGGGCAAACTATCAAAATTGACTTGACGCGCTCAGCGTTAAGGAACCCTTTCGTAACTCTGCGCCCTTTCCCTCTTAACTACGCGTCTGAGAAAGATAACGTTTTGAAGAGAAAAGCAAGCAGTCTTGGCTTAAAAAAACTTAGGGTTTCACTTAATTTGCTCAATCACAACAAAAGTAAGATCAATCAGACAGTAAGCGAACAATATCTGTGAAAAGGACGAAACCATGTCTATAGGCAGTTAAATCGCGGCAGGATTAGCACATTGATTAGATCGCTGGATTGCAGTGCCAGACCAATACCCGGGGTCTAAAAATAACAGAAAAAATGAGTGTCAGCCCTTTCCATGTAGGGATGGCGGTCCAATGTTGTGGAGACGTAGAAGTAGTGTCCTCAATATTTACTTGTGTGCAAAATACATTGTCGTGTAGGCTTCTTGTAAAGCTCTAAGTACTAGCTTTATGCAAGCTAGGCACTATGAGGCTGTTCTATCCTCTACCTCCTGTTAGTCGAGGATCAGTGCACGAAAAAAGAAAAATCAAACTACGATAGGGAACAGTAACTCAAATCACCTATGAGACATTCGGGAAATTTTTCCTTTTTTATGGTATTTGAGGCTAGCAGCATTGACCTATATTATCCGACCAGAAAGCGAAATAAACATTAGCCAATTCGACCGAAATAAAATGTTATTTCTGACGAATGAGCCCGCGAAGAAGACAGAAATAAATATTTTGACGGCACGAGATACAACAGGGCCTGGGTACTAGGCCGGGTGCACCATGGGTAGCCATATCGGGGGTATATAAGGCTGCGTATATCACGTGTACGTCATCTAGGCTTACGAACCACCCTCTCTTTGGTTTTTCTTAACGTTCTTATCGGCTCTTTCTTGCGTTATATCCGTCAGCAAAGACGAAGTGTCCGATCTCATTTAGGAGAATAACAAACAGTTAATGGACTCGTTTAAAGATTTGTTAACAGACACAGTTGGTCAAATCAAGCGCGCTAACGAATATTTTGCCGAGCAGCAGATGAAAGAAATTAAGAAACTAAAGTATAACGAACCACGTAAGTTCAAGAAGAAGGCCAACGAAGACCAGTTTCAAAGGATCCACAGTGCAGAATTTTGCGGCCATGTAGCGTACTAGGCCGGTAAGAAGAAGAAGACCACTCTTTCAACTCTCAGCAACAGATCCTCGCCAGTGGGAACGCCGGCGTCCACCTCAAGTTCACAGATGCAACCCCAGCCTCTTATGTCAAACGTTCCTGTTTTTCGCCTTCTCGTCGACCCAGCGTCGGTACCTGTTTTGCCTGTGGAAAGCGCTCCTGTTACCCGACGATGGACAAGCCAAACATCCCAAACGGCTTCATGAAGGACAACAATCAGGTGCAGTCTATTCTAGTTTAGTACTGAATTTTTTAAGCGGCAAGGCGTAATATGGATCAGGATTGTCTCGATGTTATACCAGTTTCTTCTGGCTTTCACTCCGCCAGTTTTAGGCGCGGTTTAGAGCTCTGAGAGTACCGTTGATATTTCTATTCTACCTTCAGTTTGGGGAATATTTTTCATAGTGATCTATTTCTGGCATACTTTGCTAGTTTCTCTGTTCATTTTGAATGTTATTAGTCTAGTTACAAAATTCCCTTCTTCCAGCTTTTTATGTTTTTTTTTACTATCCTACAATGCCTCTGCACGTGTTTACAGTTCTTTTTGTCCGTAGCTGTTAATGAGCTTCCCAGTCTCAACCTCCTTTCAGAAATTTTTTTGCATTCCAATATCATTTACCCGCTTTCTGTTTGACCCGCCGCTCCGTCTAACAAAGGTTATTCCTGGATTTTAGGCACGTTTGCACCTTTTTCTACGAACAGAAATTCAAGTGCGAAGACTTGTCCATGGCCACTTAAATTTTTGAGATGGGGTTTTCTTTATTTATATTTTATCTCTAGTGCGGTTATCGTAATTTTCCCCGATCACCGTTATTTCCTTGCGTTCACCTGGGATCTCGGCACCTGGATTTTTAGGTATTTTCTACTTTGCGCGCTTCCCTTTGGGTTCTTGTCAGCCTCCCTCAAACCGCTTCAGAAATCAAGAAGAAGCCAAGGTATCCCTATTGCCATTTTTCTTTACTATGGTCTAGCTATAGGAGGAGGAGCCTATCGCGTTCAGGCCAAAATTTACAGTTTGCGGGCTGTCCATGCCGATTTGCCTTAGTCTCGCTTTGTTCGAATTCCTAATGAGAAAAAGTCGCTGTGGGAGCCCGTTCAAATTTTCTCGTGGCTTCGTGTTCAGAACACTCTCGTTGGAAGTATTAGTGTCACGGATGAACGCATTGCTAAATTGTCTCACGACCTGGTGGCTTTGTCTGCATATTAGTCTTCCACCACAGTCCATGTTCTACGCGTCCCGTGTGTAGCTGGCCAAAGTATTTCCCTCTCGAGTTGCGTGGGATCCGTCGCGTGTATCATGGCCCGATTTCTTTTCTCAGTTGTTTACTCAGTTGTTTCCTGGGATAGGATTAAATTAACTGCAAAAACCGTGGACGTAGATCCTGCTAGTTGTAAACGTTGGATCTCTAGAAAAGAGATCAAATCAGCCAAAATATAAAGAACAAGAACGAGAAGTCCGAAGACTACAGCAAAGCTGATTTAAAACAACGTGTATTGTTTTTTTTATAACAATATTTCGGCTGGCCATACCAGCCTTCTTCAGGTTTACAGATGTTACTGAACTTATGTAGCAATCACAATATTATATAGATGGAGAATGTAGCAATAAAAGGGAGAGGCGGAAATGACGTACAACATAAAAACTGGAAAGGAAAAATACTAAGGATATGGATTACAATAATTCATCACGGCGGTTTAGGCCATGATATTCTGGGATAGCTAGGTTTTCCTGTCCGTTGATTCTTTGTATGAAATTGAATTTTGGTCGAACAATGTTAGCCTTTCAACGGCAAAATTTATTGAGGGGTTCCAGTTCGCTTCCAGTGAGAGTAAGCTCCGGCTTCTCCGATGCTTCCTATTCAGCCTGCGGCGCTTAAGAGGAGCCGGAACCTGAACTGATTTTTCATCAGGATTGGTCGGAAAGTGTTCGTAGATCGACTTGGAGAGAACTCAAAGCGGTTTGTCTTGCCTTACTAGCCTTCGGGAGCCCTTTACATAATCAGTCTTAGGTTTTTTGGTATTCTGACAACCATAACGTCTAATCCATTCTTCGCGACGGCAGCAGGAAACGCGACCTCCTGGATTTAGCCCCAGTTGTTTTTCAAATTTGCTCCCATCATTGTATTTCGTTCGAGGTCAAGTGGATCCCTAGGGACGTGAACGCCAGTGCGGACTGTATCTGCAAACTCGTTGACTTCGATGGTTACGGCCTCAACGATTCCGTTTTTTTTCAAGGGCTAAATCACCTCTTAGGTCCTTACACTATTTACAGGTTCGCCAGTAGCTTCAACGGCGAGTTGCCTAGGCTTAACTCTCGATTTTTTCAGCCAGGCTGTTAGGCTGTTTATGCCTTCGCTCTAAATTGGAGTTAGGACGACAACTGGCTTGGCCCACAGGTTTGCCTCATTGTCAGAGTCATCAGACACATTGGGCTCTGCCGCGCTTACGGGAACCCTTGTTCCTCCCCTATGGAAGTCAGCTATTTTCTGGAATGTTTCTACTAGAGATGGAGTGCATTGGAATAGTTTTGTTGTCGACTGGGTTTTATTGCCTAAGTTCCAGGGGTTATTTGTTCCAGGGAAGGCCCGTTATTCCCTTTTCAGATCCAGGCCTTTATTTTTTGGCGTCATAGCGCTTCGAGTTTATTTTCGGCGCCCCAGACCTCCCTCGTCCCTGGCGGGCTTCTGCTCTACGCCGCCTGACGGAAAGTGTTACCTGTGCCTCTACACGCGTGTTATGCGTACCTTTAGGTTTGGACCCATTAGGTTTTTGACCCCCCCCCCACTCTCCTCTCACTTCCCTTTTCCGGTGTTTTAAGCTCGTTTTTTTAAATTCTTTTTTATTTCGTGCTCCTCACATTTTCTTCTTGTATTTTCGATTACTTTTCAGATATGTTCCGCTCTGGTTTATAGCGCGGGCCCCAGAATTTCCCACCAGAGGGTTGAATACTGAGGCTGACAGACAGTCTACAATGCAATCGACGGTTCTCTCCTCAAAGGCCGTTAGTACGACAGTGGTGTACCTTCGTGCTTCTCGCAAGTGAAAATGTTTTGCTGCCAGTAAGCTTCATTCCTGGGCCTGTCCTGCCAGTCCCTGCCATGTTGCCTTGTATTTGCAACACCTCATTGAAGAGTCGCACTCCCCGTGCGTCTTAGGCTCGGCTGTTTACGGTAGTAAATGGGCTCATACCATGGCGGGTATCCCCTCTCCCACGGATAAACCGATTATTGAAGGGGTTAGATGTGCTTCCAAAAGGATTTTTGGTTTGATGAGGTCTCCATAATTAGGGGGAATTATATTTTCATGAGGGTTTCATGATCATTAAGGTTCTCAAAAGCAAGAACGACCAACTTTGTAAGGGCGATGAATCGGAGTGATTTTTTCGGAAATGTCTGGCCCTGCTTGTACCTTGCCCGTTTTTCCATCCCTCTAGCTCCAGGGATCTCATTTTTAGGCCCATGTCTCGCGGGAACAGCTCCTTTAAGTTAGTTTCCCAGGAGCTATACCAGCTATACCACAGCTATACCAGCTATACCACAATTAGAGAGGCTTTTCGCAAGGACCTGAGAAGTTTCGGGGGTTGACCCTTCCACTTTTGGTTTTTTATTCCTTGCGTTCGAGAGGGGCCACTTCCGCTGCTTATAGTGGGGTTAGTGACAGTGTGTTTCAGTGGCTCGGCCGCTGGAAGTCCGTTCTAGCCAAGGACGTCTACCGATGATGACCTAGAAAAAAGGCTTTCAGTTTCTTGGGCTCTAGGAGCTTTCATTTGTCATTTCGCCCAATACTTTGTCACTCTACGTACTTTGTAGGGTTGGTTCTCGCCAAGCCGTCCCAAAATAAACTTATTTGCCATTACGTTTTGTCTGTTGATGTTGTGTAGTGGAGTCAAAATATGTTATTTCTGACGAATGAGCCCGCGAAGAAGACAGAAATAAATATTTTGACGGCACGAGATACAACAGGGCCTGGGTACTAGGCCGGGTGCACCATGGGTAGCCATATCGGGGGTATATAAGGCTGCGTATATCACGTGTACGTCATCTAGGCTTACGAACCACCCTCTCTTTGGTTTTTCTTTATTTTTGTTTTATTTATTTTTAGGAGCAACATATTCTCGATGACATTGTAAAGTCCCGTAGGAAGGGCTTTGAGCTTGAGCCTTGGTTCCTACCCAGATTTCCTGCCCGCATTTTTTCCCTTCGGGGTTTTTTTGGGCAGGTTTTTTCTGGCCTCCGTCTGACCGCATTTACTTCAGTTTGTAAGCGGTAGCTCAGCTCTGCTAGTTTTCAGTTTTTTCCCGTTTCTTATTTTATGTACTTGTACAGTTATCTCAGTTTTGCACCTGCTCCTTTACTTGATATATTTAGTTTCTATGTATGTCTAGGTCAGCTGTCCCGGAACCGCTCTTTAGGAGGCGACATAAGTCTCGTTTGATGCAGTTAGGTTGCAGGCAATGTTACAGACTTCTAGCCAGGGTCGTTATCCATTTGTTTACTTTCAATGTCCTGCCCTAGCCTTTTATGGCAGCCTTACTGGTTATTGGGCTACGTGCCTTGTTGGGTACATTAGTGGAGATAATTCCCAGTTTTCCTGGCACTCAGCCTCTGTGCTCCTGAAGTGTTCCCGGTCCCAGTTATCCGTTGATCAGAGTTTTATTAAATTTCCCCAGCCTAACTGGCAGCCTAACTGGCACTAAGCCTGCGTGCTTCTTTGGGGGACTCAGGTCGAGATCGACCAGTTGTAGCAAATCTCTCTTTTGCTTAGCCTCTGTGCTCCTGCCGTGTTCCCTGTGCCAGTTATGCGTTGTCAGAGTTTTATTTATTAGTTTCCCCAGCCTAACTGGCACTAAGCCTGCGTGCTTATTTCGGGGATTTAGGTCGAGATCGACCAGTTATAGCAGTTTTTCTTTTTGCTTAGCCTCTGTGCTCCTACAGTGTTCCCTGTGCCAGCTATATGTTGTCAGAGTTTTATTAATTAGTTTCCCCAGAATAACTGGCAGCCTAACTGTCACTAAGCCTGCGTGCTTAACTGGGTGATTCAGGTCAAGAGCGACCATTTGTAGCACGAGTTTTTTCTTTTTGTGAAAGCTAGTTTACGAGTGTTGTACATTAGGTATTCACCAGTAATCACCTATTATTGTATTTACATAAGTACTTTGTAGGGTTGGTTCTCGCCAAGCCGTCCCAAAATAAACTTATTTGCCATTACGTTTTGTCTGTTAATGTTGTGTAGTGGAGTCAAAATTAGTGGTTTTTTCTTTTAATTTGAGAAATAAGAAGAATATCTTTACATGCAAAGTCATTCCAGAATGTTAGCGCTTGGGACTGCTGCGATGAAGTAGTATAGGGCGCACCGAATTGCCTATTTTATTTATGACAAAAATACAAAAGGTTATGACGTCCTGAGATTCCTGCGCAAAATAAAGAGTATTACATCTCTACAATACTACTGATAATTGGTTTCAAACACGGTCGCCGGTGTTTTCTTATTAAATGCTTATAAGCCTTTTCATTATTTCGTTTGTAACTGCACATTAAAAACAACCAATTTTCATGCACTCAATTAAAAAAAATGACACAAAAAAGTCAATCAACAGAGGAAACAAAGTGAGGGCTTCCTGTGCATTAATTTTAGGAACATGAATCAGTATAAAGAAAAAAATGGACTGCACTTACGAATACAGCTCGCCTCTCCCCCAGACCACTGGCCATCTGCTTGACAATACCTGGTGGATGTAAATGTAGTTTTATATCCGCTGTTACAACTGTATGTTGCAGTGCTGCCCACAAGATTACCGGAACTTAGGGCTACATTGCCATTGGATGGACTGCTCAAACTGGGACAAGACAGGGCTGAAACACAAAATACAGGAAGAAATGATTTCAAGTATAGTCACAAACCTTCCTGAATAGGCCTTTCCACGTTAATGTCGTTGACACCTCCACATAACGGCTTACTTCACTCAACCGCCAAATTAAATTTATCACATCTACCAGCCCGTACACGAAATATTATTTTCACTTGCATCTTCTTCGCAACGGTTACTAGCTCCTTCATGTAATGTCATTGACACCACATAACGGCATCTTCTATGCAACAGCAGCTTTATTGGCACCCCACATAACAGCCTCCTCTGCGCAACGGAATAAAAAAAGTGTTGTCCCAATCACCAGCCCATACACGTACTCTCATTCACACCTCCACATAACGGCATCCTCTTCGCAACGGCTGGTGCACCTGCTGGCACTGATATCCACCATCCCTTACACTTCAAAAAGAGGCTTTAATGCTTCACTTATTACACTATCACGTAAACAATGCATAGGGGACTAGAGTAACGGCAAACAAGAGTACTTTACCTTCACAAGTTGTTTGATCTGCCTTAAGAGTGTATCCTTGCTTGCAGACACAGTAAAAAGACTGGTAGGTGTTGACACAGGAGTGTTCACAGCCGCCATTTGAAGATGCACATTCATCGATGTCTGAAAAGAAGAAATATGTTTACAGTTAATGATTATTTCCAAAGCGTCAAACTTATTTCCGTTTATTTCCAATTTCCGCCACAAAATTACATGTACAAACTTCACTTTGTCTCTGGTGTTGACTTCCGAACACGTAATGTTGATTTAACATTAGGAATATCACACTCCACCTAATTATAACATGAACCCTAAGAGCAACCCATTTACAATACCAATATCTGACAAGGTAGATACTAAGAAAACATGAAAATTTTAAATGTCAATTAAACCTTTGCAACTCCTTTTCCCAGAATCCAACTCCATGCCAGTTGGGCAGGAACAAGTGAATGATCCCGCGGAGTTGTGACACGTGTGGGAACAGCCTCCGTTAGAAATAGAGCATTCGTCGATATCTGAAAAATAAAAGGAAGCACTTTTGCAGTTAGTGGGTTGAGTGCATTTAATTTACACACTTTCATCACTGGCTTTAGAGGTAAGTACTCGTAATTGAAATAAGCAATATTTTACCAGAAAGTGTCGATAGCCTTGGGTCAACCTACCAACACATGTAGTGGATCCCTGAAGTTCGTAGCCTTCATGACAATGGCAGACGTATCCTCCATTCGTATTTGTGCACCACTGATTGCACGGACTGTTGTTACACTCATTTTCGTCTAAATGAAATACGTATAGGAGAATATGGAGTAAATTATAGCGAAAGTGTAAAGGCCTACTCTGGGACCTTAAGTCGCCGTAACTTTAGGTGATTTAAGGCGATTTAAGGCTACTTTAGGCGCCTTTAGGAACATTTGCTCAAAATGCTATGCGATTTAAGGAAACTTAAGGTGACCTTTTAGGTGAATTAAATGCCAGTGTATACAAAATTGACATCTACTGATAACACCACCTATGTATCGAGACAGTTGGTCTTGGAGACATCTATTAAAATTCCAACAATCTCAATACATATAATACCAAAATAGTGATTCTACCTTGTATTTTGAACATTAAATACCAAGGTAGCCTGCTTCGCAGATGTTATCTAACCCTGGTTAGTAGCGTCTGCGAAGCAGCACTGATATCCTTGTTCCGGAGCCAATGAACTAACGAAAATGCGTTTCGAGTTTCCCTTCAACGTGATTGGAAAATTTTGTGAGTGGAATAATTGCTTTATTAAAAAAACGTCCACAAAATATCGAGAATTCTTCCCAACTTTATTTGTAAAAACAACCAATTTCCAGCTTGTTTTTAATTTTGAGCAGACACGGACAGTTATCATATTTGGAGAGCATGGTATAATTAGCAATTATTCCTCGAGCCCGAATGGGCTCTGAGTCAATAGCCCATGAGGCTGGAGGCGAGAGGAATAATTGTTCTAGTAAAATCCAAGTAGTTGGTCAAAAATATCGAGACAAAACAACATGAGCTAACAAAACGCGATTCAGCCGCCATTGTTTTGGTTTTTAAAGCCGGCGTTTATCGCTACTAGTGGGTTATAACACATAGTCTAGTAGTAGTTCAACCAATCAGAACGCAGCATTGATAATAGACCACTAGTTGGATTTTACCAATAGCTCATATACCACGATGGCTAAGCCAATCATAGCTCTAGAATTGCATAATCCAATGATTCAGTCTTTAATAATAATATTTGTTTTCAATTAACGGATGCGAGAGCAGAAAATTTGTCATGATTTGAAGAAATAACACAACAGTTTTCAATTTACGAGACATGTTTCGGCAAACCTATGCAATCGTCAGTTACAGAAGCTCGTTGTTTTGAATTACTTTAATGGCTACTGGAATTTTCATGCAATTTTCCAGAAAAGTGAAATCTGATCCCTAATTGAGGGGGCTAAATTTTAAAAGTCGGCTCCTAAGATGAAGAAATGCATTTTTTTTTTTCATTCAACGTGAACTAAGTAACATTTGTAATTAGCGTTCTTAATTGACTAATTTTAGATCTTCAGCAAGGCTAATCACCCGTCGCCATGATTTGAGAGCAAAAATGATTAGTGTGCCCAATTTTGCAGTCTTCAGAAAAGGATACTTGGCTGGGATCATTGTAAAATGCATTTGTTTCCTACCTGGACACTGCGGTTGACTGCCTGTCCATACTCCTCCCTCGCATGTACGACTCGTAGGACCATAAAGGAAATATCCACTATTGCAGGTAAAAGAAAGAGTGCTTCCTGCATTGTAATTGGACGAGGAAACTGTCCCATAAATTGGTGCACCAATAGCGGCACAGGAAGCAGCTGGAAGACAATACAGAAAGTTTATAGGTGACTTACCCATAGACTGTTAAAATCTATTTTCATCAGTTGGTACGCAAGTGGACTTACGGATCAACCACCATCTTTTGTCTCTGCTACTTCACTTCAATGACATGTAGGAAGTGCAGGGAAATCACAGTTAAATATTAACTTGAGGAAAAAAAAGCATTTATTACCCTGTTTTAAGCTGCCGTTAAAAAACAAAGATAAAATTCAGAACCACCCAGCACGTTTAAAACGTTTGCAAGCGTGTTACATCCGTGCTTCTTTCCAACCTCCACCCGGAGCAATAACTCACAATGGAGTCGAGTTACGAGATAAAATAACAACAACAACAACAAACACAGCCACAATCATAACAACAACAAAGTGAATCAAATAAAGACAGATAAAGTAGTGGCGACATTAACTACGCTCACCAGTATCGCAATCCTTCCCATAATAACCATCCGTACATTCGCAAAGGTAGTCGTTGTATCGATTGACA